AGCCCCCAGAAGCCCCAGAGCCGCCTCCAAGAGGCCCCAAAGAGGCCCTCCGAGAGACCCCCAGAAGCCTCCAAGAGGCTTCGCAGCAACGACCTACACGCGACGGCGGTGTGGGCCACTGGATACCCCCCAGCATCACTCTTGGAAACAGCCACGGGACATCCCGGCGATGCCTCGGAAAGGCTAAAACCAGTTTCAATAACGGCGTTCCCGCCTTCAAATTGTGAGTTCGCATAGTTGTTTCCATTTGGGGTGCGAAAGACATGTCAGGCATCGTGGGCTCGCGTTCACAGATGTACGTTGGGCCTTCTGATTGAAGCGGATTTCTCAAACATAGACACGATGACGATGCGGTTGTGGGGCCGATGGTAACAATGATGTAAATACCTAGAATGCCTCAGTGCGTCATATGATGAAACGTTGACGAGGTAAGTTTATACTAAGATTGTCACGTCCCGATCGGGTGCTTCACAAAACACATCTTTCATGACAACCACCAAACGTAGATCCGGAATGCTGGAAGTGGTAGGTCCCAGGAACGATCCCCAAGGCGATGTGCACAGCGTTGTGGCGGACAGGATACAACAACCCATGATTACAGAACAAAAAAACGGCATTCACATGAAATTTTGGGATGCCCGCGCAGATTTCTTGGGTCGGCGCTGCTCCTGGCGCGCGGAGCGCGCCAGGAGCAGCGCCGGAGGCGCCGCCAAAGGGGTCCAGGGCCGATCTCAAGAAATCCGCGCGGGCCGTCCAAAGTGTATGTTCATGCCGCTGTTATTCTTCGAGTGACGCAACAGTCCATGATGCCACAGGACAGATGTACGCGCTGCCGGTGTTCCTGCCCCCTCTGCGAGGGCGATCCGAAGAGGGGGTCTCCTGCGCTGCAGCTTGCACGGTCCTTCGACCAAGCAGGCGGAGCCACTCTCAACCAGCCTCGAACCGATCCCTATCCCTGAAATGGGCAAGCCAAAAGCGATGACCATCTTAGGGATGTGCCCTCATGCATGAGGTTCGTGCGCACAGCGAAGTTTCCAGAAATTCAAGAGAGGTGACCTATTTTGTGAAACTCCACTGGAACCACGCCAAAGGTGTTCTCGAGGGAGTTTCTCGAAATTCTGCCTCGGCGCCGGGCCGAACTTCGAAAAACTCCCTCGAGCCCACCCTTGGGGTGGTCCCAGGGGAGCTTCTGAAAATAGGGTACAGCGCGCAATTTCAAGAAGATCAAGAAGGCTTTCCAGAGAGGGGGGAGGGACCACCTCGACCGCGGCCAAATTTCGAGAATCTCCCTCGGGACCACCCTCGCGGTGGTCTCCGGTGAGTTGCTCGAAATCGCTTCCACCCGCTGGGCAGGATTTTCCATGGAAGACTGGGAGTGTCTCGAAATTGCGCGCTTATAATATTTTCAAGAGCTCGGCCCGGGCCGAGGCCGAACTTGCGAAATTCGGCCCCGCTCCGAGGCCGAATTTTGAGAAACTCCGTTGAGCCCACCCTTGGGGTGGTTCCAGGGGAGCTTCTCAAACTAGGCTACCAGCATTGAATTTCTGGAAACTACTTGTGCGCAATCTACAGGAGCGCACCTGCCCATGAACTGAGGGAAGCTTTAAGATCAGCATCAAGGTGAGATGATGCCAAACATATGGGTGGGGATATGTTTCAACCTGTTACAGTCTCGCCGCCCTAAGACCCGCACAGCTTTCTCACTGCGCTCTGCTGCGCTACACATGGCGAGCACTGGAAACCCTGAACAAAAAAACGTGCGGCGGAAGCCGGCGGAGCTGGCGGAATTTTACTTCCACCGCCTTCCGCCAGCATTCCGCTGCCTTCCGCTGGAACCCCCTCGCGGCGCATCCAGCGCCGCCCCTGACGCGCTTCGCGCGCAAGGCAGGGGGGCCCAGCACCGATCCAAGAAATCCGCGCGGGCCTTCGAAAACTCATGTTTATGCAATTTCTCGTTCCTCGATCTTGGCTCTCTCGTAATGACGTCATGTCGGGATACATCAGCTCATGCTGCAATCGTGGAGCGAATGGTCTATTGAAACCAACCTTCTTACGGGCGCTGTAAGGCTCCAGCAGTTATCCTAAAAGTAAAACTACCTTCGGGTTGCATCGTTCGCCCCTCCACCCTCAGCGCCACAAGCCACGACTCGCAACCCAACAGCACGCACTGCAAGACACAAGCGTCAAGGAGACGAAAGCGTTGGTGTAGGAGCCCCTGTTCGTACTCTATCATCTAGCGGGAAGCACTTCATGGAACTTAGCTTTCCGAGGCCTGACCAATGCCTCATTGTCGACTTTGCTCACGCTGCTTGACATGACGAGGTGCGCGTAATCCGTTCCTCCTACTCATCCTCCTGTTCCTCCTCATCAGCATCATCATCATCATCATCATCATCATCATCATCATCATCATCATCATCCTCATCAGCATCAGCATCATCATCATCATCATCATCATCATCATCAGCATCAGCATCGTCATCGTCATCGTCATCATCATCATCATCATCAGCATCATCATCAGCATCAGCATCAGCATCATCATCAGCAGCATCAGCATCAGCATCATCATCAGCATCAGCATCAGCATCAGCATCATCATAATCATGATCATCATCATCATTTTCATCATCATCATCATCATCATCATCATCATGATCACGATCATCATCATCATCATCATCAGTATCATCATCATCATCATCCTCAGCGTCATCATCAACATCATCATCATCAACATCATCATCATCATCATCGTCATCATCATTATCATCATCATCGTCATCGTCATCGTCATCGTCATCGTCATCGTCATCATCAGCATCAGCATCATCAAGCGCACCTGGGCTTAGACGCTTAGACCACATCCCAGCAGCGCAACAAGGAGCGCTCGTCCGACCTTCAGTCACGGGCGCGCACCTTCCCTCGAGGCGCCCGGCAGAGTGCAGCCGTCTCGAGGGCGCGCGGCGCATGGCTGGAGCATGCGAGCTCTGGGGCCCCTCAGACTTTTCTTGTTCAGCCCGCTGTCGCTGATTTCCGTGGGCCGCTGCCGCGAGGTGGCGCACGAGCTCGGCGCGGACGCAGTGGTGCTTCCAGGCACTCGCATCAAGAGCTGGGCAGGATGACAGTACCAGGTGGAGAAGTTGGGCGGCGGGGTTCTGCGGGCTGCACGGTCATACTCGGACGACAACTTCGACTTAAAGACGTGGTGGACATCCTCACACCCCCGAAGGCCATCCAGGGCAGAGCTGGAGCGGTGCGAGTGAAGAGTAGCAAGTTCGATGTGACGCTGATTGTTGGATATCCACTCCGACGAGGGCCACGGGCAAGAAGATCGCTGTCTACGAGGCGGCGGTGAGAGCGACGCATCACTGGATCGACACCATCGTTGAGGGCATGCGATCTCGATCGTTGTTGACAATAGGCGTGGATGTGAACAGTGGTTTCGGCGAGCGCAGCGACGGAGCTCCTGTGGCTGAGGAACATGCTGGCGAGCAGCTTAGAGCACGACAGAACCTATCAGGCGATTTCGCGGAGCAGCTGTGTGTTATATAGAACATGCATATACAAGATCTTTATGCTCAGCTAGTACTTGGTATCGCGACGGTGGCCATACCTTCTCCGGTACCAATGGGACGAGATCTGCGATCGACCACTGGTTCATCCCAGAGGCCGCGCTGGGGAACGTCCTCGAATGCAAGGTGCGCTACTGCCACGGGCGACGGCTGCAACTCATCCCTGGTAGGACGCCTGGGGATCATCTGCCTCGCTTGCCGGTGCTGGGCTGCATGCTGGAGATGCAAAACGGGATTTCAGGCGCTGCCGAGAAGAAGCTACTCACGTGGGATCTTCGGAAGCTATCGGAGGCGTTGCAGACGGGCAAGGGTAGCGACGTGCTTCTGATACAGCTGGAGGAGACCTTCAGACAACATGAGAATGAGTTCACATCCTTGCGCGAAGAACGACGAGTCGATGAGCATTGGAGGTTGGTTATGCAGCTGATTCAAGCTGTTGGGCAAATTCATGTCACAAAAACATCCACCAGAACGGCATCATACGGCAGAGGCACGTTTGCAAGCTGTCAGGCATCAATTGGTTGCCCTACGTGCTGAGGAGCAAGAGCTGGTGACTGAACTGGAATCGCGAGGGTCTAACTCCACTGGTGATGACGAGCAGCTGGAACCCATCAAGAAGCTGACGACACAGCTTCGGCAGTGGGCAAGCCGAAGACGAGCTGATAGACATGCATCGCTGGAGGCGGACCTCGAGGAGGCAGAGAAGCTGGGGCACGCCTGTGAGCAACATCGCATCGCCCATCTTCTTGCCGAGCGAGCCCACGGTGCTCGACACCAACAGTATCTTACTACACCTGAGTCGCGCCCGTCTGCGAAGGCGGTCGTGGCTCACATGGCGAAGCCGAGCGCGGAGGGAGGCATGTCTGCTTTTCGAGTGGATCGTGCGGAGCTTCAACGACGACGAGGGACTACCACCGCAGCTCTCGGAGAAAGAAACACACACCTAAAAAAAAAGGCTGAACGCGATTTATGTCGTACGATTTGGGCTATACGGAAAAGTGGGAAGCGCAGAGGGTCGGTGCAGTGGAGCGCTCCTGTCGAACTGCTCCTGTGCTGTCTCGAACCTGGACACTGCACGACTGTGAGGCGTCCACCGCGCGGACTCGGACAACCTGCTATCGAGGAGGTTGCGCGGTATTGCCGCAGCTGTCGGGATGAGGTGCTGGTGGTTTTGCGACACAAGCGTCGAGATTATCAAGCACCTCCTGCAGCTCACTGGTCCTTTGGCTTCTCTTGAAACAAACGCAAGGGCCTGAGGGGTGTGGACGGCAAGAGGGTCACACACCTGGTCTGCACGTTCTGGAAGTTGTTTTTCGGGTGTCTCCTGAAGAAGCCGAACTGTCGCGAGTTCGAGATGAACTTCGACCCGACGTGCCATAGCTCCTTGGCGCACAGGGGTTTCGGAGTGTGTCGGAGCTGCTCAACATGTCCAACGCGTTCGCCTGCACCCCGATGGAGTGGCTTGACGAGGCGGTGGAGGAGATGGCAGACGCTGTGGACTGTACGCCCTTGCATCATCGTATCCATCACCACGTCGTGGAGGTTAAGGCGCGTGGCGAGGCGTTGCATTTTGCCCTCGGTCGTGGCGGTCTCATGGGCACCTGCGAGGCCCCAAAGGAGTTTGCGGTGGCTGTCAGAGGACCAGTGCAACGATGGCGTGCCCACCAATGTGCGGCTCAGGACGACCTGCTCACGTTTAAGACCCCCATCCTGGAGTTGCCTGTGTCGTGCGCGGTGGTGCAGTTCGCCGACGATTTGAAGAAGAGGCACGTTGTACTGACTGGCCTGGCGTCGGAGGCCCATGCGATCATCAACGCGAGCCAGATCATCCTGAACAACGAGCTCGAGAAGGGGGGCTTCAGGCAGAACATGAAGAAGCGCGAGCTGGTCACGGAGCTCAAGCCGACTGAGAACCGCAAGTTCAAGACTCAGCTGGCGAACGGTTCTGGCCGTATTCTTCCACATGCTCGTCATCTTGGCGGGCGGAACGCTTGGAACGACAACGCGAATGTTGAGGTCGACTATCACATCGACGCGCTGAAGGCGGGCTGGCGTGACATGCGCGGATTTTGGTTCGCGTAGAACCCGCATAAGCTACGACGGCAACTATGTTTTGGCAACGTTGTGGGTGCTGCTCGCCCTGGCATGTGCAGGTACTTCCGCTCGGAAGCTGAGCGTCACCGCCTGGACGTGCAGATCTGCAGGATGCTGAGGGTCCTCGAAGGCGGGGCGCAGGTGGCGCACGGCATGCACGCCAAGGCTCCCACCAACAAGGAGCTGGCGAAACGCTGGGGAGCACTCCCTGTGCGTGCGGCCCCGGCGATGCAACGTGCGCGCTGGCTACCAGACACGGTGCGGCATCCTCTTGCACATCAGCAGGTGATTGCCGCGGTGTGGGGAGGGGGCCATCTGGAGGGCGCCCCGTCTCCCATCGGCATGGAAAGGAGGCTGAAGGTGTCCACGAGCCCTTTCGCCAGGCAGTTCACGCGAGCTCGCATGCTGCTGGAGGGCACCAGCGGCACCGAGGACGTCTTCGAGGGGAGGGGCGATCGCCGGTCGAGCGTGGCAGGAGCCGCGGAGGTGCGAGGAGGTGTCCAAAAGGCCGTTCTGAAGGTGGATGCGAAGCTGCTCGAGGTGTCGCTGATGAGGGGGGATCGGCCGTGGGAGAAGCTGCCGCCCAGGGCTCGCGTGACGGAGGAGGCCCCGGGTGAGTACGTATGCGGCTTCCTGGACGTGCAGGGAGGGCGTCGGTTGCGGCCTGTGCTTCGACTCGCTGGCGAAGCTGGTGACGCACATGACGAATGATCATGGTGGGGGTCATGGCGTTCTGTGCCCGCTGAGGTGCTGTGTGCTCACGAACCAGTGTGTGAACTGTGGGAGCGCGGTTGTCTCAAAAGACAGCGCGAAGCAACATATTCAAGATTCGTGGAGTCTCGGGCGCTGTCGGCCTCAGGGGGGCCATCGGGCGTGGGAGTTGAACGTGGCGCCTGAGATTATATGTAATATGTGTGCGCTCGAGTTTGCCAAATTTACCGAATACTACACCCACGCTCGTCAAGAACACGTGCCTCGCCCTGCTCCGCGTATTGTGGAGCGCCATGCCCGCCACCCTCAAAGCGACAGAAGGAGTCGCTGGAGAAGAAGACGCAGGCCGCCGCGTCAAGCCCCGCACCGAGGACGAGGGAGGCAGCAAGGACAAGCGGCTCAAGGGCGTCGGCGACGAAGGGCTTCGTTGGTTCCTCCTCGTGATGGTCAAGCGGCTCCTGAGGTGTTCACAAGGGATGCGCGAGCTCGGCGGGTGCCCATTCGACACTTTTCTCTGCCCTGCCGACGGACTCGAAGCGACGAAGATCTCAGAGCAAACGCACAACTACTCGACAGCGGCGAAGAAGGACGGGAAAGGACCCCCCCGGAGCACCGTACATCTGAGCGTTCGCGGGGCTGATCCAGGCGCTGAAGGAAAGGGGCAGCGAGGTGGGGGGCACGAGCGCCAAGAGCATCATGGATACATGGGATTGGCTCGACGCACACAACGCGGAAGAAAAGACGGAGATGACCAGAATGTGCCGCCTGGACAAGACGTGCGACAACGACACGACGAGGATCACCCTCGTGCTGCGCGAAAAGCGGCGGCGCCAGGTGGCGACCCAGAGCCGCGCTCGGGTGGGCATGGGCCGCAAGCGGGGCGAGGCTACAGCATCGTCCATGGAGTGCAGAGCTGCAGGAGTGCGTGGGCCAGCTGCTGCAGCAGCAGGGCAAGCACGCGAGCCCGCGGCGGGGCACGCGGGGGGAGGCGTGGACCTACCACCGCTGTGCTCGAGCGGGTGCGCGAGCCCGCCGCCGCAGGCGCTCCTGCGGCTGCTCTGCCCGTCGGCACCCCCACCGTGAAGCCGAGGGTTTCGCCTGAGGGCAGCAGCCGTTCCTCCTCCTCCGCTCGGACCTCGGGGGCCCTTGGGACTCGTCCTGACCAGCGTCGAGGCGAGCTTCGCCGTGGCTCCGAGGACCCCTCCTCTTCCTCCTCCTCGAGTGTGACGGGGACCCAGGGTACCTCGGCGCAACCCGCCAATGCCGCGGTAGCCCCTACGGGACCCCTCACTCCCAGTGCCCTTGTGGCGTCTCTCGGGATCGAGCGGGGAAGCACCCGCTGGAACACTCTTATAAAAAAGTGATAGGTTGCGCTCGATGTTGACACGCACGAGGCAATATATTCGAATATCCAGTCGGCCGTAACTCTCGAGTCGGTCGGCGGGGCCAGCCGTGGGGCCACTGTCGGCCATAGGTTCGGCCCCCTCGCCCTGCATTTCGCTGATCGTCTCGGTCCAGGTCACCGCACGCCGCCTCTCGTTCGTGAGTTGTGTACACCAGAGTGCCAGAATCTCGAGTCATCGGCACAAGGTTCGCAAGAGCTCCCATCAGCCACGACAAGGATAAGACATGTACAAGGGCCAACGGCGCATAATGAAAAACACATCATCGGCATCAGCATCAGCATCAGCATCAGCATCAGCATCAGCATCAGCATCAGCATCAGCATCAGCATCATCGCCATCATCATCAGCATCATCATAATCAGCATCAGCATCAGCAGCAGCATCAACATCGTCAGCATCATCAGCATCATCAGCATCATCATCAGCATCATCATCATCATCATCATCATCATCATCATCATCATCATCATCATCATCATCATCATAAGCGGCATCATCATCACCAGCAGCATCATTACCATCAGCATCATCATCATCATCATCATCATCATCAAGATTGTCATCGTCGTCATCATTATCAGCAGCACAGCAGCAGCATCATCATCATCAACAGCGTCAGAAGCAGCATCAGCATCGCCAACTTCATCATCATCAACATCACCATCAGCATAATCATCATCATCATCATCATCATCATCATCATCATCATCATCATCATATGATCATCATCATCATCATCATCATCATCATCATCATCATCATCGTCATCGTCATCGTCATCGTCATCATCATCATCATCATCATCATCATCATCATCATCATCATCATCATCATCATTATCAGCATCAGCAGCAGCAGCATCATCAGCAGCATCAGCATCAGCATCGGCATCATCATCATCATCATCATCATCATCATCATCAGCATCATCATCGTCCCCTCCCTTCGCATCCTTCTCGATGGTCCGCGTCATTGCCACATTTCTTCTCTCAGCGGAGGAGGCGATCTCACACCGACCTAGAAACTGGCTGGCCAAAGGCAACCACAATGTACATTGGCTCACTTACGCTAGGACGGGACCGTCTTAGTAGAGGCCTCCTAGATGGGGTTCGAGCACATGGGGTCGGAAAATTGCGCCGCATCGCCAATGCATCGCCGATGTATCGCCGATCCATCGGCGATGCATCGACGACGTCGGCGATGCATCGGCGACGTCGGCGTGGGGAGTCACGGGCCCCGCATCGGGCCGCATCGCCGATGCATCGGCGATACGGCGCGATACCCCGACCCCGTCTACTCCGACCCCATCTGGGAGGCCTAGATTTAGCCAGGCGGGCAAAAAGGGGGGAGGTGGCAGAGGGTGGGTAGCGAATCAGCTGCATACGGCTGCCCTTCGAGGCGCCGAGAGCGACCAATCTATCGAGTAAGCTGCCTGGCCGCGGCGGCGGGGACAAGCCCGGCGGCATGCGGCTGGAATCCGGGGACGCACTCACCCGCGGTCGGCACGAGCCCGGACCAGCCAGGGGCCCCGTCGCGAAGCCCAGGCGGCCGCTCGGTAATTATAGCTCCCAAAACCGGGCCGGCGGAGGGGGAATGGAGAACGAACGGCATAAACATCAACTGTTGGCGCTCCGCGCGGATATCTTGGATCTGCTCAGAACCCCCATCCCTGGCGCGCGGAGCGCGCCATGGGCGGCGCCAGAGGCGCCGCCGGGGGGTCCCAGCGCGGATCCAAGAAGTCCGCGCGGAGCGCGAAAAGCTTATGCTCGTGCCGTTCTCTCTTCTTCGGCACGTGGCTCCCAGGCCTCGGTCAGCCACGGGGGGCAAGGGGGGTTGGCTGACCCCGTCAGCGCCGGCCCCCGGGGCGTGCGCTCCCGACGAGCCCTCCGCCCGGGGCCAGCCGGCCCTGCCCCGTACGAAGGCCAGCGGCAGAGAGCCGCCCGGCAGCCGCTCACGAGGAGGCGCCATCGCCGCGAGACGGCGCCGCAGGCCGCCGGCGCAGGCCGGCAGGCTCTCAGGCCGCCCCCTGGAAGGGCTAAAAAATTAGCCTGGCGAAGGACCCAACCATATGCAGCTGCGAGTACCGCACGGATATGAGACGAAGGAGGGGGCACGCAAACTAGGCCCCTCTTCTCATAGGCACCGCGCCACTGGGGCCTTCGGTGGAGCTCCCTATGGGGCCACGAAACGTGTGAAGGGTGTGCCGAAATGGGTGGTGGGGAGGCATGCGGACCCTGCCACTGGGGCCTTCGGTGGAGCTCCCTATGGGGCCACGAAACGTGTGAGGGGTGTGCCGAAATGGGTGGTGGGGAGGCATGCGGACCCTGCCACTGGGGCCTTCGGTGGAGCTCCCTATGGGGCCACGAAACGTGTGAGGGGTGTGCCGAAATGGGTGGTGGGGAGGCATGCGAACCCTGCCACTGGGGCCTTCGGTGGAGCTCCCTATGGGGCCACGAAACGTGTGAGGGGTGTGCCGAAATGGGTGGTGGGGAGGCATGCGACCCTGCCACTGGGGCCTTCGGTGGAGCTCCCTATGGGGCCACGAAACGTGTGAGGGGTGTGCCGAAATGGGTGGTGGGGAGGCATGCGACCCTGCCACTGGGGCCTTCGGTTCCCTATGGGGCCACGAAGCGTGTGAGGCCGAAATGGGTGGTGGGGAGGCATGCGGACCCTGCCACTGGGGCCTTCGGTGGAGCTCCCTATGGGGCCACGAAACGTGTGAGGGGTGTGCCGAAATGGGTGGTGGGGAGGCATGCGGACCCTGCCACTGGGGCCGGTGGAGCTCCCTATGGGGCCACGAAACGTGTGAGGGGTGTGCCGAAATGGGTGGTGGGGAGGCATGCGAACGCAGCCACTGGGGCCTTCGGTGGAGCTCCCTATGGGGCCACGAAACGTGTGAGGGGTGTGCCGAAATGGGTGGTGGGGAGGCATGCGAACGCAGCCACTGGGGCCTTCGGTGGAGCTCCCTATGGGGCCACGAAACGTGTGAGGGGTGTGCCGAAATGGGTGGTGGGAGGCATGCGAACCCTGCCACTGGGGCCTTCGGTGGAGCTCCCTATGGGGCCACGAAACGTGTGAGGGGTGTGCCGAAATGGGTGGTGGGGAGGCATGCGAACCCTGCCACTGGGGCCTTCGGTGGAGCTCCCTATGGGGCCACGAAACGTGTGAGGGGTGTGTGAAACCCTGCCACTGGGGTGGAGCTATGGGGCCACGAAACGTGTGAGGGGTGTGCCGAAATGGGTGGTGGGAGGCATGCGAACCCTGCCACTGGGCCTTCGGTGGAGCTCCCTATGGGGCCACGAAACGTGTGAGGGGTGTGCCGAAATGGGTGGTGGGGAGCATGCGAAAAGCCACTGGGGCCTGGTCTGGGGCCACTGGGGCCAAGCTCCCTATGGGGCCACGAAACGTGTGAGGGGTGTGCCGAAATGGGTGGGGGAGGCATGCGAAAGCCACTGGGGCCTTCGGTGGAGCTCCCTATGGGGCCACGAAACGTGTGAGGGGTGTGCCGAAATGGGTGGTGGGGAGGCATGCGAACCAGCCACTGGGGCCTTCGGTGGAGCTCCCTATGGGGCCACGAAACGTGTGAGGGGTGTGCCGAAATTGGTGGTGGGGAGGCATGCGAACCCTGCCACTGGGGCCTTCGGTGGAGCTCCCTATGGGGCCACGAAACGTGTGAGGGGTGTGCCGAAATGGGTGGTGGGGAGGCATGCGAACCCTGCCACTAAGGCCTTCGGTGGAGCTCCCTATGGGGCCACGAAACGTGTGAGGGGTGTGCCGAAATGGGTGGTGGGGAGGCATGCGACCCTGCCACTGCCTTCGGTGGAGCTCCCCATGTGAGGCCGGGGGGGAGGCATGCGGCCACTGGGGCCTTCGGTGGAGCTCCCTATGGGGCCACGAAACGTGTGAGGGGTGTGCCGAAATGGGTGGTGGGGAGGCATGCGAACCCTGCCACTGGGGCCTTCGGTGGAGCTCCCTATGGGGCCACGAAACGTGTGAGGGGTGTGCCGAAATGGGTGGTGGGGGAGGCATGCGAACCCTGCCACTGGGGCCTTCGGTGGAGCTCCCTATGGGGCCACGAAACGTGTGAGGGGTGTGCCGAACTGGGTGGTGGGGAGGCATGCGAACCCTGCCACTGGGGCCTTCGGTGGAGCTCCCTATGGGGCCACGAAACGTGTGAGGGGTGTGCCGAAATGGGTGGTGGGGAGGCATGCGAACCCTGCCACTGGGGCCTTCGTTGGAGTTCCCTATGGGGCCACGAAACGTGTGAGGGGTGTGCCGAAATGGGTGGTGGGGAGGCATGCGAACCCTGGAGGGAGGAGGGCGAGGAGGAGGAGGAGGAGGAGGAGGAGGAGAGGAGGAGAGGAACGCGGGGCACCGTCTCTTCAAAACGAGGACCCAACACCACAGGATGGTTGGGAAAAACTGCGCATGCAGAGACTTTCGGAGGTCCGCGCAGATCTCTTGGGACCGCACTGGACCCTCGCCCTGGCGCGCGGAGCGCGCCGGGGGCGGCGCCAGCTGGCCATCGCTCGGACGTCCATTCCCTGTGTTTTTTTCGGTTTCGTGCGTGGTTTTTTCGTCAAATGATCAAGGATGCTCCTCGATGGTCCTCGCCGAGGGAGAAATGCACACGTCCGAGCGATGCCAAGCCAGAGACGCCGCTTGGAGGGCGTAGCGCAGGTCCACGAAATACGCGCGCAGCTCGGGAAATGCGTGCTGTGCCGCCTCTTGTCCTTCGAGAGTTGCAACCCCGCCTCTCTGCGGGGACAGCAAGCGACCACAACCACATCGAGGGCGCATCTTCGGGGATGTCTTGCGCATGCCATGAACCGTCAGAACACCAGAACCACCTAGTACTGGTTGTGGTCGCTTCGACGACCCAGCACGGCAAAATCGACCACAACCACAACCGAAGTGCTCATGTTGAGTTCGATGGGCTCTCACCCGGGGGCCCTCCAGAAAAATCCGCTCAACTGTGGTTGCGGTTCCTTGTTGCGCCAGGACTCACCCTGACCTCCCCGAAACCTCCGACGCAGAGCAGCGGCTTCTCGGGCAACCTCGCCGCTCACGATGTGCACGGCTTCGCCTCGGGGACGCACTGACCGGTTCAACGCAAACCCGGGCCAGTCAGGCTTTCCAGGATCCTGCAGGATCCTGCAAGATCAGGCACGCAAGCCCGGGTCACTTCACCCCTGGCGTGGCAGGATCCTGCGCGAAATCCGGCACTGGCTGGCCCCCGTTTGCGCTGACCCGCGTCCGAAGCCCCCCCATCGCCACGCACCACAGGCCGCACCTGGGGGCTGCCCGCGGCGCCGCGGCGCGGACCTGGACGCGGGGCATAAACGGCGGCGCCTCGTCCTCGGACCCGGCGCAGGTACCCTCGGCGGCCGCGCGAGAAGGATCGAGGAGGATCGAGGAGGATCGAGGAAGATCGAGGAGGAGGAGGAGGAGGAGGAGGAGGAGGACGAGGAGGAGGTGGAGAAGGAAAAGGAGGACAAGGAGAAAGAGGAGGAGGGGGAGGAGGATGATGGGGAGCAGATAAGAATAAGGAGGAGGAGGAGGAGGAGGAGGAGGAGGAGTAGGAGGAGGAGGAGGAGCGAGAGAGAACGAAGAGGAGGAATGAGGGAGGAGGCCAGAGAGGAGGAGGAGGAGGAGAAGGAGGAGGAGGAGGAGGGAGGAGAGGAGAAGGAGGAGGAGAAGGAGAGGAGGAGAGGGAGAACGAGAGGAAGGGGAAGTAGGGGAGGAGGGGAAGAAGGAGGA